GATTCTTCCCTGGTCACATCCTCGTATCTTCATCCTTCTCTAAGAAATGGACAACATCACCCTTAAGTTTCAGCATTTTGGAGCTAACCTTACAAGTACAGTTCTTTTTGTACGTATCGTTTTTGACAAAATGCTTCGATATATGTATATAGCAATTTGTGTCTTTTGTACTAATTGCAGCTTCGACATTTTGTAATATTTTTTCTCTTCTCCATGTTTACTTCCAAGATCTTCACAGATATTCTTGAGGTCCGTTGACAGTACTTCGCCGAAAATGAGTATTTTTTTTATGTATACTAGCCCCTTCCCACTTCAGTTGGCCCACTTCAAGATTTGTACCAAAATATGCCTTTATAAACTAAACACGACGAAACTATTTACTTCTAAAACAATTTATTTTCTCAAAAACATTTTAGATACACTCTAGTCTTAAAAAATACATATTTGAAATCACTTAAACCTATAACTAATAGAACATCTGAACAAATAAACAATTTTTTTTTACGGCTGAAATTCTTTGGGGCATAGTGTTAACCAAGTTTTGGTGAAAATTTGGTGTAAAACAATCCCAAATTTTCGCAGCTTTTGTCTTAGTTCGGTGATTGTACGAGCAGGATGTTGTCGTAGAACCTTTTTCAGCTCGTGCCACAAAGTTTCAATATGTGACAGATCTGGACTGCTAGAAACCCATTTCAAAAGTAGTACATTATTTTATTCCATCTATTTTATAGCCTTTTTGCAGTATGGTACGCTGCACCATCTTGCTGAAACACAAAATCTTGGCCGGATGTCAAACATTCTTCCATCACTGGTAAAAGCGATTCTTCTAAAATTGCCAAATATTTGTTTGTATCCACATTTCCATCAATAAAATAAAGTTTTCCTACTCCTTTTGATGAAATACTGCCCCAGACCATAATGGATGCTGGACATTTCACTTTTCTCTTCAGACAGTCAACATGGAATGCTTCATTTCTTTTTGCGAATAACTCTACTGCGACTGTCACCAACACAAACTTCGAATCGGGCCTTATCACTCCATTGTATTGCACACCATTGTTGAGGTGTCCATTGTCTATGTTCCTTAGCCCATCTAAGCCGATTTTTCTTTTGCAGTGGATTTAATGGTGGCTTTTCTTTGGCCTATAAATAAGTTGTGCAACTTTAGGGTTTTTACTTCACTTTTGTTTATAAGAAAACTTACCTTGCAAGTGATAAATCCCAGTTTGTGGGACTCTCTATGAGTTCTGGACCTCGAAATTCTCCTTCCAACAGCGTTACTCCACAGAGCACTTAATTGTAAATAATTGGCACGCCTGTTTTTCGCGATTATTCTTCTTAATGCTCTTCGGTCGGCATTTGTGATATTACTTTTTTTCACACATCGTGGCTTAATATTAACTGAACCGGTTACGTTATATCTTCTAACAATATTTCTCATACTGTACCGCGATAAGTCTAACAAAGTTGCAATTTCTGAGTTTGATATCCCAGAATTAAAAAAATTAATTATCAGTAACGAATTTTCTCACTAATAACCTTTCCTCTACACATTTTGAAAACCTTAACTACCCAAAACTATTTTAAACGTATTCTGACAGCTGTGATTAATAAAAACAATTGTCATGGCTTTTATTTTTCACAGTCACCTATGCGTTATAGACTTATTTTGCAATGAAATGAAAATAGGTTGATATGCTCTAATTGCAACATGTGTTATTTTTATGCTGCAAATTTGATTAGGGAGTGATGAAGTTGGTGTTTTATACTATACAGGGTGTTTCAGTTTATTGTTGCATAACTTTAAGATTCGATAGAACTTTTAAAATTAATGCATAAAGTCTATACAAATATGGGTCGAAAAATGCGTGGCTTCCGAAATACAGGGTGTTTAAATTTACTTTCTAAAATAGTTTTTTTTAAATATTTTGAACAATATTTCATGTATAACAGTGAAAATTGGTATACAAGGGTTTTTTGGTACGGCAAAACAAACCATGGGCATAGTTTTACTGTAGCCGCTAGAGGGCGCTCTCTACTGTACCTGTAGTGTATTAAAATGACCGAAAAATTTTTCTTAGTGCAATTTTTTACTTTTTGAATAAAAATAGTGATTCTTCGCACTTTTCAACATAAAAAAGCTCTCCTGTGAGTTTTTGTTATAGTTAGCCGTTTTTGAGATATTTCGTTTTTTAAGGTTCGATGCATTTTTAATTATTTATGGGAAAATAATATTTTTTTTACATTTTCGATTTGGGCATTACAAGTAATTAAGATGATCGTTTAGATTGTGTTTTTAAACAGAGCAATACTTCCTAACTCCAAATAAACACAAGAAAACAGAACATTAATTTGTTTAATTTTCCAATATTATTTTTAACAACTTAAATTAATTATTTACAACTAAAATGCTATTGGATAGTTAGGACAAACATACAAAATCTAAAGTAGTTGCTCGAAATGTAAACCCAATTGTTCAATACACAATTCACATCTACGAATGATCGAACGTGGTATAGCATTATTCAAATAAGGCCTTATTCCATCACATGCATTTCTGATTATGCCTATTAGCATACATCTTGTGGTTGCGGGAGTCTGGTACACTTTTTTTTTAGAAATTCCCACACAAAGAAATCTAATGGATTTAGGTCAGGGGATCATGGAGGCCAGGCGACTGGTCCTCCACGGCCGATCCATCTTTCTGGATAATTTTCGTCCAGCCAGTTTCTAACTATTCTCGAATAATGAGCTGGACAACCAACAAGCTGGAACCAGGCCAATCTTCTTAAATCTAACATAACATCATCGCACATATATGCATGTTCAGCCTCTAAAAATTCCAAGAAGCTCGCAGCATTTAACCTTGCTGGCAAAAGGTAGGGTCCAAATAGTCGATTACGGTAGATACCAATCCACACGTTCACACTAAATTCATCCTGAAAATTTCTTTCCCGAACTGCATGCGGATTTTCATGCGACCAAATATGTTGATTATGAAAATCTACCACTCCACGTCTAGTGAAGCATGACTCATCGGTCCATAAACCGTTACTTAAAAACTCCCTATTATTATCAGTTCTATCAAGAATCCTCTGACAAAATGTTCTCCGTGCCCTGGCTGTAGTCCTTGCACAGGTTGCAAATGGTAAGGACGTCTATGGTCATTTCTAAGAACACGGTGAACATGGCTTGCTGAAATTCCCAAGGCACCAGAAACTCTCATAACACTTGTGGTCGGATCTCTATCAAATTCACGCATAATCATACGGGTAAATCTGCCCTGACGAACATTTACGTTTTGATCCCTTTGGAGATTTCCAAAACCATTTCCAATTATTTGGCGATACACCCTTACAAATACTGGGCGAGTTGGATGTCGTCTGTTTGGAAATCTTTGTGCGTTTTCTCTGGCTGCTTCTGCTGCGTTTCCATTTACAAAGCCGTACACAAAATGAATATCCGCTAACTCTTGATTGGAGAATAAAAATGGCATTTTTATAAAACTTACAAAAAAAACAGGTAAAAGAAACTAAATTCCGTGCATTCACAATGGCAAAAAACGTTTCAGGTTTCAACAGACAACAAAACTAACTGTCAACTAATTGAAGTTTAACCTTATTCTGCTTTCAATTTCAAAAATATTTGCAGGCACAGCCTACTTCTAAAAATTAACGTTATTTTATCATAAATAATTAAAAATGCACCGAACCCTAAAAATCGAAATATCTCAAAAACGGCTAACTATAACGAAAACTCACAGGAAATCTTTCTTATGTTGAAAAGTGCGAAGAATCAGTATTTTTATTCAAAAAGCAAAAAATTGCACTAAGAATTTAATTTTAATACGCTACAGGTACAGTAGAGAGCGCCCTCTAGCGGCTACAGTAAAACCATGCCCATGGTTCGTTTTGTCGTACCAAAAAACCCTTGTATACCAATTTTGTGTTTATATAGACTTTATGCATTAATTTTAAAAGTTCTATCGAATCTTAAAGTTATGCAACAATAAACTGAAACACCCTGTATATTATCAAAATATTCATTGTTAATATTTTAAACCTATAACACCCTGCTACATTTCTATTATTTGTGTTTGATAAGAAAAAAACTAGGATTTTAGTAGTTGGGCCAACTGAAGTGGGAAGGGGCTCGTACATCACCTCAAATTGATTTAGCATTTTGTAAATGCATTGTACTCCCCAAAAGAAGAAAAAAAATCATTAAAACATTCGAACAGTATAATGACTTACCTTTTAATATAAACAGTGAGGTAATGACACAGAGAAATGTAATGTTCTAATTATTGAAATCCAATACTTTTTTGCAGCAACTCTTTTCACTATTAAGAAACTCCGCCATTTTGACATTATTAGCAGTATTGCCAAGTTTTTAAACATAACAGCTGCGTTCAAAAATATCAAATGGTGTGACCACAGATCGGATATTTATAATGGGTGAGGGAATGATTTCATTTCAAGGGACATAGTTTAAATAGATGCTTTTATATACTCGTACATATTTATTTTTTAGCAATAAAAGCTCGACTATACAATCCATACTTATTACCAAATATTTTAGTAAAATTCAATTTATAAGAGTATGAACAGATTTGATTGTATATATCTTTTTATTATTAATTTCAGACCCAGGGACGACATGAGGAAACGACTTTTAGACTGATAAATAATCGTATTTTTTTGTGTCAATATATTATCTAAATTCTTGCTTTTAAAATATTAGTGTAGAACCTTATTGATATAATAAAAATGTTAAATTGATGATAAAACCATGCAACTTAGCATTAATGGCTCAGGACATGAATTTCGAAATTTGCTGAGAAACACCCAATTATTTTGAGCAACTTTTTAGCATCTGAGAGTTGTTTGCGTATAGCAGAAAACTGGACAAAGTTGGCCACAGAAACAAAACTGTCTAATTTAGTTACAAGTCTTCTTTCAACAGTTTATAGCTTCTCATAATTGTATTTTTTGTTGCAGTTTGATGCTCCGAAAATTGTGAAGAAGTTCGTAGATCTACATGCCGAAAAATCAGATATTATCTTGGAAGCGATGCAAGAGGCTGTGACGAGTGGGAAACCAGTTAATCCACCAATCTGGTGGATCGCTCCAGAAGATCCTGTGGCATTGGCTTGCGACGACGGTAATAACTATTTTGTCCTTATTTTGTTTACTATATCATCACAAACTACTGCATACTGCAGTTTCTTCATATTTGAAAAATAAATTGATGTCTAGTGAGCATATCTACTCAAGCAATACTCGCTTTACTAGCACTTTAACGATACCATGAATGCTTAACACATAATGCGACAATCTACCAGGGTGGCCGAACTGTAACTGACTGGTTTGTATCTTGAATATTTGTAGAAATGAAATAAAATACGTCCATTTCTTTCATCTCAATCTTTTATAGAAACTTAGAAATTATGAATGAAAAATAATATCAGATAAATGTCCGCCTCTAGAAGCCGTGCAAACCTGAGCCCCCTTGATTACATTTTTCATCACTCTTTGGTAGGTTTCGGGGGAAATATTTTCAATCGCTTCCCTAATATTGTTGTTCAGCTGCTCTACAGCATCTAGTTTGTTGATATAAACCCTATTTTTCAAAATTCCTTACTAAAAATTCAGGAGCCGTTACATCCGGTGACCTTGGTGGCCAGTTGACATCGCCAAATCTAGAAATTACATTTCCGGAAATATTGTTCGCAAAAAACTCATTGTTTGCCTAACTGTGTGACAAGTTGCTCCGTCCTTCTGTAACCACATGTTCTGTTGCATTTGAGGAGCCAGAAAGCTTTGCTCCATGATGCATTGGACACATGTGCCTTCAACAAATATTACGCCGCCACCTACTGAAATGTCAGTTATAGTATATCGGCCACCCTGTATCTAGTTGTTATGATCTGAAAAGAAGCTTGGCTCAAAGCAAAAACTTCTAGTTGAACATAATAACTACTATCCTACTGTCATTTACTGAGTGACATATAAATCCGAACACCCAGTTTAAATGGTTTTATTTTAATAAAAGTTGGTGAATGTATTTATCTTAGTGTAAATAACAAGTGAAAAAATTTTCAGCCTTATCAGTTGGACATTCCGGTTTTTATACTGCTTTTTTTTAATTCACTAACGCTCTAAAAATGAATATTTCAGCCGCAGTAAAGAATCAACGTTGGCGGATTTTGGTTCTTGACATCCATTTCGATCGGTTACGATGCCTAGAGTACGGAGACCTGTACGATTTCGTCAACTTATTGAGTTTGATAGGGGCCGTATAGTGGGACTTCAGGAAGCTGGACTTTCTTTTCGGGCAATTGCAGTTAGAGTGCAAAGAAGTGTAAACACTGTGGTTAGGTGTTGTCAGGCATGGCTTCGAGAAGGCCGTACGCAAAGAGCAAGGGGCACTGGACGCCGCCGTAGAACAACAGACCGTGAAGATCGCCGCCTAAGATTATTGGCCTTAAGGGACCGTTTCTCCACTACCAGGTCCATTGCAAATGAATGGTTTGCAGAACACGGAAGACCTATTGGCATGCGAAGTGTTTACCGACGAATGAGAAGTTTTGGCTTGATTTCATACCGGCCACACTGGGTCCTCCCTTTAACTCGAGAACACCGACGTAATCGCCTTGAGTGGTGCAGACAACGGTCACTCTGGGATCAGGAATGGAACAGTATTGTCTTTAGTGACGAGTCTCGATTTTGTTTAGGCATGCACGATGGTCGTGCCAGGGTTAGAAGGCGACGTGGTGAAAGGAGGAATCCACAGTTTTTTGTTGAAAGACATGTTCATCACACTGTTGGAGTTATGGTTTGGGGTGCTATAGCTTATGGTTCCAGGTCACCTTTAATCTTCATCAGAGGTAACATGAACGCGCAGCGTTATATCCACGAAGTTATAGAACCCCATCTTTTACCCTATCTTGACACCCTGGCAGATCCAACTTTCCAACAAGATAATGCCCGACCACATGTTGCAGGACTTCTTTCAACATAATGATGTCACATTGTTACCATGGCCACCAAGATCTCCCGACTTATCCCCAATTGAGCACGTGTGGGATATGATGGGTAGGAGATTGCTCAATTTGCAACGTCCTCCTCAGACTCTAGAAGCACTTCGAGAGGAGTTGGTGGTTGCCTGGAATGAGATACCACAGGAGGACATTGACCACCTGATCAGAAGCATGCCTAGGCGCGTTGGAGAATGCGTAGCACATCAGGGTGCATCCACACATTATTAAAGGTCAAAGGGCTTTAAAGCAGTGCAATCATTTTGAAATTTTTATCATTTACTTATTATGCTACATTACAGTACTTATACAAACTTTTATTAAAATAAAACCATTTAAACTGGGTGTTCGGATTTATATGTCAGTTAGTATATTTATCCAATAAAAAGATGTGGAAGTAATTTAATTTTTAGTTTGTTTGGGGCCTTCTGAGATTCCTCAGTAAAATCTCATGGAACTAAAACTAGAACGCAAAATAACTAGTTATGACGCGGAAGTGAAGATCTTTCCCAAGAACTTTTACATTCAAAATAATATTAGATTCAAAGTTGAAGTTTCAGTTGATCTTTTTCAATATTCGTAAAAAAATTGATTTGTCTCCCAATATTTTGCATCTTTCAGAGTTGTTGTTAGGAATACACTTCTGTATTATAATCATGAACTTGACGATTTCTTTCAGAATTCCTTCTCGGCGAGAAGATCTTAGTAGCGCCAGTGATCAAAAAAGGGGCTACCTCCAGAAAGGTCTATCTTCCAGATGGCAATTGGTCAGATGGGAATAGTGGTAAAAAATACCAGGGACCGTTAACAATCGATTCCTATTCAGCACCAATTGATGTTCTTCCTTGGTTTATAAGGGAAGCGTAGATTATATTTGACTAACTTTGAGCTAATAAAACTAATTTCTGTAAGAGTTTAATATATTTTAATGACCCTTGCTTACCTGAATGCCTTTCTAACTATCCAAAAGCTATTTTTGGATGCTTTTTTCAAGTCTGATTATTTGAATTCATGTTTAGTTGCCATTTCAAGTTAATTAGTATCCACGAACACTTGATACTGACAGTTTTTCGAACTATCTCTTACTTATCTGTGTGAGATTGAGAAGAGAGAGAAGAGGTGCCATTGAATGGTCCCCAAGATCGCCAGATTTATTACCTTTGGATTTCTTTATGTGGGGTCATTTAAAAAGCAAAATCTATGCTACTCAGCCAACATCATTAGAAGATCTGCGACAAAGAATTGTGAATGAGTGCCTCCAAATTACTCCTCAAATATTGGAAAATGTGCGGCAATGTTTTGAGCAAAATCTTTATTATTGCATGGAGAGTCATGGTGGCCACTTTCAACATTTACTTGCCTAACGGGTCAGTTCATTCTTCATTTTTAAATTACTTTGCTGCCAAATGTATTGATCTGCACTAATGATGATGTATTAGTTTTATTTAAGCTTTAAATCAATAAATCTTCAAAACGACTGAACGAGGTAGTACATTAATTTTATATCATTATAAAGGGAAAGACCTTTAAAATAAGGTATCACTCGACCCGCCTTTCCATTTAAGATTTTGGGGGTGGTGCCACCCCCGCTTAGGGAACTGCACGTGTTAACGTGATTTTTTGCCAAGCTTGTGTCCCCCTTGAAAACAAAATCAACGGGTCTGAGCGTTCTTCAAAAAAAAAACTGAGCTGCCAGTAAATGCGTCTGCTTCATTCTCGATGCGCCACCCTGTATATGTATATATATATATATATAGTTTAGCACTGCAGGCCGAATAAGCCCATGGCCTGAGTGGTAACATGTCGCCAGCTTTTTTTGTTTATTGCGTTCTTCTTCCAATTGTTAATTCTTAACTCATGAATATCCATTTCCACTTCCTTTTTCCATCTGGTTTTCGGTCTTCCTCACCTCTTCTTTCCAGCAATATTGCTTGTTAGTACTCTTTTTTGTATTCTGGTCTCAGTCATCCTTTGGACATGTCCCAACCATCTCAATCTTAGAGCTTTCACTGTTCCTACTATATCAGGTTCAACATAAACAGATTGCAGTTCTTTGTTCGTTCTCCGCAGCCATCTACCGCACTCCTGCTTCCCACCCAATCTCTTGCGTAAGATTTTTCTCTCCCAAATAGCGATTTTGTTTTGTTCTGCTTTAAAATTCACTGCCATAGATGACAATAGGTCTTATAATAGTTTGATACAACCTTAGTTTAGCCTTTCTGGACAAGATTTTACTCTTTAGTAGTCGATTCAGTGAGTAAACACAACCTATGCCAGAAATTATATTTAAAATGTAACGCCACAAGATTATCTTTCGAATAAAAAAAATTCATGTCAATCGAGTAATCCATCGTTGTTTTATTACAATTTAAAGTTCTATACCTCTAAAAAAAAAACCCCGTGATACGGTATGTATAATCGTCTTGGGTTGGTATCCTTTCCTTTCCCGTTTAACGCTGTAACCCTCCCAGGGTTGAAATCGTGAATTCATATTAACTGTGGTGGACTAGGGTAGAATGACAATCTACTACAAAACAACAATTTATTTTCTAATACTTCAAAGAAGCAGTCCCGACACTTGATTAACAGATTTAAGTCTATAAAATCAATCTCGGTACACTTAATCCGTCGTAACTAAGGATTCTACGCAGGTAGTTACCTCCTAAAACAGTCGCTGACAATGAGCCTGGTGGTTGTGCCAGGCACCAAATACGAGAACTCATATATTTTTGCGATATTTTTTCCCAATATTTAGAAACTATATGAGGAAAGATTTTTAAATATCAATTTTATATTTTGATGAAATATCTAATATTTTTCGTAAATATGTATGGATTTTCAAGCATTAATAATACATATTTTCAGTGTAGGTAGAAAATTCTTCATTGGTTATTTTAGCAAAGCCTTTAGGAATGCTTATATAAAATTGGGTTTATAAAGAAAATTCATTCTGGATATAATGGTTTAATTTGCTAGAAAAATATTTTCAAAAAAACATTCTAAGCCTCTTCTGCATCTTGCAAGTCCACTCCTCTGGAAAAAACAAACTTACTAATTATTAAGTATTATTGAATACATAAGCTGCTTTCCAGTGTATTTACTGGTGCTGAGCATGGTGAGTTACTCCGAGTAGCTCAACAGGGTCACTGAAAAGCAGCTCTATAATGCACCTAAAAGGATCCCACATGTTATGCCTATGATAGTTCGAGATTTGGTTAATTTTTAAGAAACTTTAGTATGTGATTTTAGATATCTTGATGAAAAATGTCCATGGGCACAACTTGATTCTTTGACTAACACTTATTGATTTGGTTGAAATGTGACTTTTTTCAGTAGTACACTTCAAGGCTAGTTATTTATGGTCTTATGAATACCTTTATACTCAGTTGGCACAATAATGTTTACTAGTCAGACAAATTAAGCTATGTAATTATCGGAAAACTTAACGTTTTCTCTTTTCCACAAAAAAAAAACACTCAAATAATGAATCACTTGGAGATACACAGGGAGCACGCTATAATAGTAAAAGTCACAGGTAAAATGGCTGCCGGCAAACGGGTCGTCTCAGGCCGACTTGCTATTATCCCATTGGTCGCTCGAGATTACACGCACATGCGCCGTACCGAAAATATTTAATGAATATTTTCTAAATATTGGAGATTTAATATTTTCCATTGATTGAAAAGTAAATATTTAATCAGTATTATACTCGTAAAAGAAATATTGTATTTAAAAGATATTGAATAAATATTTAATAAAAATATTATATTACAAATGTTTATGAAATATTTGTTTAAGAAAACAAATATTTAAGTAATATAAAAATATTATTAAATATTGAATAAATATTTAATGAATATTTTGTGCTATCGGGGGTGTCAACGACATCTGAGGATTCATCCAGCGACAGTGAAAAGTAAGCACAGTTATCGAAGTCATTTTTCAAGTCTAAAACGTTGTCATTGATCATTACTTCTACTCGTCTCATCACTGTATTAGCAGAAAGTTGCATAGATTTTATAACAGATACTATCTCGTCTTTATTTCAAATAATGAATCTGTACCATCTAAAAAGGCCTGTTGTACAATTTCGCTGCCTGCACATGGTTTCTTCTTTTGTGTAATTATATGTCGACTGTTTTTAAAAACATTTGTGTGTTGTCCAATTAATGGGAATGGGAATGCTTTTTCAACATTCGAATGTACAGTTTTATATTGCCTCTCGATATTCCATTTTTTTGGCAACGCAAACAGATGTATTACATAACATACATTTTTACCTTTAACTTCTGCAAAGAAACATTGTTCTTCCCATTCCGAATGGAAATGTCATGTCTTCTTCTTCTTCCTACTGCTCATAATGTTTTTAATTGCAGGCCAACTCTAACCGAACCGCTGAACTTTGTGTCGTTCAGTTTTAAACTGAGCGCACTGTCGCCGCGTCTTGCGTATTGATATCGATCTAAGTAATCGAGATCGTTCTCGAGCAGATCGCTCATCGCAGTGTTGCCGCTGCTTGTATTCATTATGAGACTCTACAAACTTTTCGTAAGCTTCTATGATTTTAAAAAAAAATTAGAATATGTTGTGAGCCACCAGAATTGCCTTTGCGGGCTACCGGATCAAGATTTTAGATCCAGCGAGTCAATAACAAAATCGGGACTTAGTAAAAATTTACTTGAACTGAACCTTTTAGCGGTCTTGTTATTTTTCTGGAAAAACTACCAACATATCGTGATAGAACAGCACACACGTAGTCCACTCATCATGATGAGAAAATACCATTGCATCTCACGACAAACCGCGATGCGTTATCTTTTTCTCCAGCTTTTGTTTCCACGGTAGCTGGAAACAATCTGCTTTGTTCGAATCGGCCACATGGAATCGAAGACGACGGTCGTCGACATCACTCCGCAGAGATACGTGGAACTGTGCCGACGTTGACGAAGACTTGTGTATTGATTTTGGAACGCCACACCGGAGGATTATAGAATAGGGATCTTGGAAAGTAACTAGGAGAGGCGTTCGTTGAAATGATGCTAGGACAAGATGAAAATGGAGCCACCGTTAGAAAAAATATTTCCATCAGATTATCCTTAGTAACCATCGTGAAAGGTACTGGAGTAAAGGCTACCACAGCCCACGCGGAGTGTTTTAAGGCACTTTTCTGACTATTTCTTGATCAATCACTAAAAATAGTTTTTTTTAATTTTGATCATTCTTCCCAGTTCTTTAACACAAATGACTCGGAACTTTAGAAAACGCTCGATTCATCTGTTCAGAATAATAATAATAATAATAATAATAATAATAATAATAATAATTTATTGGTACTATAACACAAAAATGTGTTTGCACAGGTCAAAAAAAGCAAACGTAAAACACAAAGTGTTAATAAAAGGTAAAAAAACTTGATAAAACCTAGTTTAAAATTTAGATGAACAATAAAATAAAATGTTAAAAAAATCATGAAATAATAATAATTTTTTCAGAAAAAACAAACGAAAACAAAGTAATAAAACAAATAATCACCAATTATGGAACAAAGTTGGTAAAATCATTATTTAAAAACTCATTCATGCTGTAAAAAGCTTTCGTCACTAGATATCTTTTCACAGTTGCTTAAAAAATGGTTAAGTTGAGTGTTTCACAAAACCTGGGTAGCGCATCAAAAAATTTCACACCGAAATAATTACTTTCGTGTCTAGTTTTTGATAGTCTTGTGTACTCTGGTATTAACTCATTGTTGAACCTTGTGTTATATTTGTGAATCTCTCGGAATTCTGTAATCATCGTAATTATTTATAACGTGGATCAGACATTCCAGTATATACTCGTATATGCATGACACAGTTGAAATTTTTAGGTCGATAAATGTCATCTTGAAGCACTGTCTGAAATGTAAGTTTGCTATTATTCTCAAGCATCGTCTCTGAACAGCAAACACCTTCG